AAGACAGAAATGTCGTTGCGTACAGCGTTGCCACTAGTTGTAATAAATATCTAACACTATACAGAAAATAATGAATTTTAACTGATCAGTAATCAGGAAATGTATAAGTATTACTCATCACAAGCTCATTACTGATTTTTGTCATAAATAATACCTTTTAATCGTACTAGTATTGTGTATTATCTATAATTTGCCACAACCTACAACTCTACTGCTTACAATACTTTGATTCTGCTATAAACTGGTAACGTAAAATTTAGATATGACAACGCGCTTCACTCTCAATCATTATTGGTTTTACTATAGGTAAATTCGTTATAAAATTTCGGTAAAGCAAAAATTGAATGGGACAAAGCGCTAACCCCAGAGAAACTCCCAACAATTATGAACGTTCATTTTAAATGTTTATACTCTGTTTTCTGCCTAGCATAAATGACTCAAACCATTAATAAGCAACCCTTCTGAGACCATAATGATGCAGCCTACTGTTGCAACAACTTCAACCCCATTACAAATCAAATATTTTTTCTCAAGGAAACTAAATACCTGATGAATAAATTGAACTTAGTTCTTAATAATTAGGTTAGGTGACCTAACCTAACCTAACCTAACCCTCATTATCATTATTATATCAAATATCAAATCTAAAACTATAAACTACCTGAATAGTGATGGTGATAATCGACAGTTCTGCTCACAGCAATCAGAGTTGCTACCAACAGCGGCATAAAAAACAAAAACACATACAATCCTCTCAAAAACCTCGGTGTCTTCCAGTCAATAATCCTCCATAAGTGAAGCGTCAAATAAACCATGCTGGTGAAGGCAAAAGAAGCATGTGCGCTGGGAAAACTTTTTCGGCCATCCATCATACCGCGGTACTCTCCAGTACACTGATCTATATTTGTACCGTATCCATCAGGGAAGCACCTGAGAAAGAAATTGGGTCTTGGTCGTCCGATGCTCAGTTTCAGAACAGACGTTATCACTCCATTTATGCAGTAAGCCAAAGTTAATCCATTCAGGTTCGTGATGATATCCGGTATTGTGGACTTTTCCCTTCTGTTGACGATGAACTGCAATATGAATACTATGCTTGGTACAACCGTAATGAAAACGTAGAGATAACGTTTCGGTATTATGCTGTCTACTGATGGGTAGCGATAGTACCACATTTCATCTTCGTCGATGTGTCGAATTACTGGTACAAGCCTATCGAGTTGCCTGCAAAAAATGGCAAGTTTAGTCTAAAGCTTATAGAAATTGCCTCATTTTATTTTAAAGCATCATTAAACATTTTTACTGATTCCATTCAAATTACCTGTGTGAAAAGCGAAATAATGTGATTTCCAATTGAAGGTGTTTTCATGCATGAATCTTAAGTCACCATTCACAATGTTCATAACATTTGTTTTTATTACTAGAATAGTATGATAAACACAGAAATGTTCCCATTTCTAAAATCTGATAGAACTGACCGATACTTGATGAAAAACCGCGACACATGTCGCGGTTTTGTAAACTCTCAACGCATTAAAGTGTGTTTTTTGAATATGTTCCCATTTCTTACGACTCCTGTAAGAGTCCTTCTTTTACTTGCGCCCAG